AAGCCAGAATATGAAAGCAGCAATGGTTTTGGCCTGGAGATAGCAACTAGTCTACTCAGAGACGTTGAACAATCGGTTTTCCATGAAGAGGATTCTGGATCCCAAACAAGTCTCTCTGTGGCCCATGAAGACGCAGAACCACTGACTGAAAAATCTTTCTTTTTTTTTTCCTTTCTTTTTTTACCGTGTCCTGTCTGGCTGTGAAGCAAACAGAATTGATGTCTGAATGCTGGTAACGAGCCTTACAGATTTACTCTCAGATGGAGCATCTTTCTGATTTTACGTCAGTTGAAGTAACTACGCCAGATTTGGATGTGTTTGACTCAATGGGGGAGGATGCTGGTCTGTCTCTGACTACAGAGAGGAATATTTAGGAGAATCAGGCTGGTCTTTCCACAATTATGGAGGAGAACTTTGGGGAGAATGATGAAATATCACTTTCTTTAGAAGAAAAGGAGGAAATGTCTCCTATTGATGAAGAATTAGAGGAAATAGACAGTGACACATCTGTTTTTTCAGAGGAAGAACTGAGTCAGGGTGACACACGTGCGCTCCAGAGGGCCCTCAGTTGACGCGCAGGTACGGTCATAGAGATCGGGGTCGGCCGGTGGTGGTGCGGGGGGCGTTCAGCCCCCTCGTCGGTGGGCGACTCGCCGGCCTCGGCTGGGGGTCACCGGCGCCGGCTGTAGTGGAGTGGGATCGGTGATGTCGTCGGCCCCCCCTTCGGCGGGTGGCGTCCCCACCGTAAGGTACTGGGCTTCGGCTGGAGTCTCAGCGCCACCATCAACTCCCCCTTCGGCAGGTGGTGTTCCCACTCCAGGGTGCGGAGTCTCAAGCCTGATTCATGCTTCGTCAGCTCCGCAAGGGACAGACGCGCACGGATTGACGGAAGCGTTTTGCCCTCATACTTCTCCGTCTCCTGGAGAGTGTTGCAAAGCAATTGCCCGGCAGGACAACAGAGGGCGTAGCGCTGTTCTGGGGTATCCTGTCATGTATCCAGTCCAAGATAGTGCGTTTATATTGTGTTTTTTTTAATATAAGAGACTTCTTAACACAGATTTTTCTCTCATCCTCCTCCACCTCTTCATGCGCTCACCACCTCTAAACCCACGTTTTCTGTCATTTCCGTCCACAAATAAAATGCTTGCTGCGTATCTTTTCACTCCTCCAGTCACGGGGGAATTAAACGTTCGTTTTTAGAGTTTTTTTGCGAAGTATTCTTCAAGCTTCTCCGTGTCTGCCGCTAGTTATCCTCGGCTCTGTTTATGTTTTTGAGGGCGCAATGGCGGCGGTGTCGACGACAGCGGCGTAGACGACAGCGGCGTCCTGACCAATCACAAGCTTGCGTTGTCCGTCTCGACTGATGGATGTTTAGAAAAGAGAGCTCGACTCCGTCCGTCCTTGTGGAGCTCTCCGGCAGGCCCGCAAGGACCTGACGCAGACGGAGAAGCATGAATCAGGCTTCAGGTGCAGTGCCACTGCAACTGTCAACCTCCCCTAGGGCAGGTGGTTTTCCCACCCCCGGGTGAAATAATCCTGTTGCAGAGACGACACAGACTCTGTGGGTGTCATTGACCTTGGAGGTACTGGACAGACTGGTCACCCTGGCAGAGCCGTTGTAGTTAACAACACCCAAAGAGGGAATGACATGCAGCAACAGGCCACGCGTGCATGGCTCAGTCTACTCGAAAGGCACATCCTCAGACTGAGCAGCAATGACAGGCCATGTACGACCTGAAGGTCGCATTATGCTCAGCTCCGTGCCTGGCGCTTCCTGATTGTGACAAAGAGTTCCACCTTGAGGTCGGGTTCTCATCTAACTGCTTCAGTGCCGGTCTTTATCAAGTATATGACTGTGACAGGCGTGTCGTAGCATATGCTAGTAAGCTCTTGTCCGGTCCTGAGTTAAAATACTCTGACTGTGAAAAATCTTTGCTTTCCACCATGTGGGCAGTTAAACACTTTTCCAGCTACATTGGTGGACAGAAAATCATCAACATTGAAACACAACATCGGCCAGTGACCTTCTTTCCGCTTCCGGTCGGTAACAAGATGGCGCCTGTGCTTGGCTTAGCCGCAGTCACCGGCCACTTTTTCAAACTTTTCACCACTAACCTCCTCTTTTCCACCTTGCTCCCGTCTGCGATCCTCTTCAGTAGTGTCCCTGCTACCATCTCCTATGATCGCCAGACTCTTTTGTCCTTCCGTTTGTTCACGATCGCCCACGATATTCTGGCTGGTTGAACTCTGCCCGAGTGGTCATTCTTTTCTTAGCCAGCCTCTGGTCGAGGTGGAGACCTAGCTGTTGTTTTCAGAGACCATCTTCCACGTAGCTCTACAACCTCTGGTCACTGTGCTTCCTTTGAACTGCAGCTGATTAAAGTCGGGCGTAAGGACCCGTTCCACTGTGCTGTGGTCTATCGTCCACCTGGTCCAAACAGTTCTTTCCTTCAGGAGTTTAGTGACTTTCTATCCTCCACTGTGAAGCTGTCCAGACTGGTGATTGTGGGTGACTTTAACATCCACGTTGATGATCCCTCTGATCGCTTTGCTATGAATTTCTCCAGCCTTATGGACTCTTTACCCAGCATGTTTCTGGCCCCACACGCAACAGGGGGCACACGCTGGACCTTGTTTTTACTTCTTATCACCATTGCATTTTCTTTAACTTGTCAGTTTCTGCGTCCCCACCTCCTGCTCGCCGTATGGTTAGTTCTTGTTTTCTTAATGAGAGCATAGCTAGAATTTTTTCTTCTGCTTTTGATCCACCCTGTTCTTCTGATAATGACCCAGATTCCTTAACTTCTCAGTTTAACGAGCACTGTCTCTCCATTCTGGACAACATCTGTCCTGTCAGAACCAAATCAGTTCCTGCAGTGAACCCTACTCCCTGGTTTAATGACAGCCTTCGCAGCCTAAAGCGCCAATGCAGAAAAACTGGGCGCTTGTGGAAGAAAACCCATCTCCACGTCCATCTGCTGCACCTAAAAGATCTTCTGACATCCTTTAACTCTGCAGTCAGAGACGCTAGGGTTTCCTATTTCTCCAACCTGGTGTCCCAGAGCAAAGGGAACCCCAAGGTGCTGTTTAACACCATCAGCAGCATCGTCTCTCCTGTCTCTCCTACATCCTCCATCCACTTTGTTGATGACCTTGAGAACTTTCTGTCTTTCTTTGTGGACAAAGTCAATAAGGTTAGATGTAGCATCTCTCCTTCAGCCTTATCGCTGCCTCTCCCGACTCCAGCCAGGCCCATCATCCTAGATAGCTTTGCTCCTGTTTCTTTACCCGAGTTAACCAAACTAGTTAACTCTATGAAGACCTCTGCATGCCCCCTCGACATCTTACCCTCATCTGTGTTTAAAAGTGCTTTTCAGTCCATCGGTCCCAGCGTGCTCTCTATAATTAATGCTGCTCTGGTCTCTGGTCAGGTCCCTGCTTACTTTAAGAACGCTGTAATCCACCCGCTTCTTAAAAAACCGAGTCTCGACCCCTCTCTTCATAGCAGCTTCAGACCCATCTCTAAACTTCCGTTCATCTCCAAGATCTTGGAAAAGGTTGTGGCTAAACAACTCACAGCTGCTCTTGATGAACAGAACATCTATGATAGCTTCCAGTCAGGTTTTCGTAGAGCTCATTCTCCTGAAACAGCTCTTCTTAGGGTCTCTAATGACCTTCTGACTCAGTGATGCAGGGGACTGTTCTGTTCTGGTCCTGCTGGACCTAACTGCCGCGTCAGGCATAAACCAACCTTAACCTAGGGGAGGTTGCAGTGGCACTGCACCTGAGACTCTGCACCCTGGAGTGGGAACACCACCTGCCGAAGGGGGAGTTGATGGTGGCGCTGAGACTCCAGCTGAAGCCCAGTACCTTGTGGTGGGGACGCCACCTGCCGGGGGGGGGGGGGGGGGGGGGGGGGGGCTGACAACATCACTGACCCTACTCCTACAGCTGGTGCTAGTGACCTCTAGACCTGAGGTTGGTGACTCGCCTACCACAGGGGGAAGGTTGAATGTCGCCCTGTACCACTACTGGCTGACCCTGATCTCTCTGACTGCACCTGCGCGTCGACCGAGGGCCCTCCAGAGCGCTCACCTGTTCTGAGACATTGCATTCACCCGCAAACAAACACTTCATATTAGATTCATCCAAACATAGGGTTGCTTTTTTAATACCAAAGTCTTTTTAATGTCAAAGTATTTTATAAATTGTCATGTTTTATAATTGTTTAGTAATAAATTTCTTAACCATCTTAAACTTGACTCTTTCTTGTAATAAACACAGAGTGGGTGTACATTGATCACTGAACAGGCAAAGATCTTTAGATCTTCTGAGTTAACAAATAATCTTTGCTATTAAATTAAATCTTTAGAAATAAATACAATCTTTTGATTAAACATAGACCAAGCAAGTTGGTGTATGAATTTATATCTATTATATTTATATATCCATATATAATCTCATTCGTCAATTCGTTTGGTCTTCTTAGGAATTAAAATATAGGCTGATAGCAACAGCCTTTAATTCCTATGTTTAGGTCATTAACCCTACAGTAACATTGAATCATCTCTGGTTTCAAAGGGAAGTTCAGGTGAGGACGAAGATGGAAAATCTTCATATGAGAAGTCAAGTCAATAAAAGTGGAAGCTCGGTCACAGGAGCCAAAACTCGGAGTTCTCTGGTTTCTGGCAGAGATAAAGAATCCTCACAAGCAACTAACTCTAAAGCGTCAGCCACATCTGGAAAATACCTGAAGGGAATGAACAGGGGGTGGGGGGGTGGGGGTGTGTGTGTGTGTGTGTGTGGGGGGGGGGGTGTTCAGAAGAAAATGAACTTTTTTTCACTTAGGAAGTAAAAACAACAAAATCTCTAGTAGAAAGTACATGTACACATACTCTATATGTCTATAAGTTTAGGCCCACTTGGTGACTTAGAACTGAGAAGCTGTGTAGATTTCACAAGCAAGTAGAAAAATAGAAGCAAGAACAACAACAAAAAAATATTTTTGTAAAATTTATATTTTTCTATCAAATCAAATAAAATAGAATACAAATATATACATATAAAATATACACACAAAAATTAAAATAAATAAATAAATAAATTGACATTAAAAAGCCAAAAAACAAAACAAAACCATCCCTCCCGCAGAATCGCCACCTTATCGTGGTGGGAGGGTTTGAGGACCTCCATCGTCCTGGAAGCTGTGTAGTCTGGTTCATTAGCCCCTGTTAGGGTCTCCATGACAACATGGTCTCAGGTAGGCGGTCGGACTAAGCATGATTCAAACACCTGAAGATTAGACCTCCGCTATGTGGAGGGTGAGATCGAGGTCTTCCATGTAGAGGAGGCGCTATCCATGGCCAGTCTTGTGGATTATCTGGTAGACGGGGATCTGACCTCTGCAGAACAGCAGTGGGGACAGGGCGTCTCCTTGGTATTAGCCAAGTCAGTTAGACATTCAGAGTGAGTCCCATCATTTAGCAGCTGCATCATTTGTGCTGCCAGGCACTCATGGAGTGCAGTGAGCTTCTTAAGCCAGTAGGCGTGGATCATGTCAGGTCCTGGAGCTGTCCAGTTCTTCAGACCTGAGGCTCTTTGTTGGATGTCTGCCACAGTGATGGATACTGGGTTCTGCTCAGGGAGGTTGCTGTGGTCTTCTCTAGAGAGACTAGCCCCTTTGCATCACTGTTCAGTCTCCAGCCTTAGTGAACACAAACTGTCAGAACACACACACACACGGTCAGAACACACACACATACACACGGTTAGAACACACACACACACACGGTCAGAACACACACACACACACACACACACACGGTCAGAACACACACACACACACACACACACACACACACACATGGTCAGAACACACACACACACGCGTATGGTCAGAACACACACACTAATCTTTCCAGATCCTCTTAGGTGTGTTCTTGCTGTGCGTTATTTCTAATTCCATGTTGTCGTTCTTTTTTAAAACACAGAGACGGTTTTGTTACATGTTGTTGATGCTACGTTTCGCCGACGGCTGCCGGCTTCTTCAGGCTGACGCTGATGGTGGCGCGTCACTTCCTTCTCCGTTTATCTTTCCAGTTCCTGTTTTAAAGCGGGTTAAATCTTTCTTCAGAGGCCAACAACAAAAATAAAAAACAGTAATTCTCTTAAATGAAAATGTAAAATCTCACCTATTAACTTTCATGCTTTGGAGCAGAAAAAGTGCATAAAACCCACAATATCTCAAGCTCAGTTTGCTCCACTCTGATATACTGTGATGCTCACCTGTTCAAGACATCTGCATCTCTGGGGTTGGGAGGAGGGTCCTTCAAGACTGTTGGAAAACCATTTCAGGTGAGAAACTCATCAAGAGCGTGCAAAGCAGTAATCAGAGCAAAGGGTGGCTTTTCTGGAGAAAATGGAAAATAAAACACGTTTTCAGTTATTTCACCTTTAAACTCCACATCATAGGTTTGATGCCTTCAGTGAGAATCTCCCAATGTAAACGGTCAAGATAATAAAGACAGCACATTGAATGTGAAAGCGTGTTCAAACCTTTGACTTGTACTGAATAAAACAAAGTTTACAAAATAAACATTTTTATTTTTCATTTAACAATTGGCAATTTCAGCCAATCTGACATTAATCAGATGTATTTGTTAAATAAGCAGCAATAAAATATAATTTTTTCTTATTCTGTCAGCATAATAATAACAGTAACAGATGTTCTAAGAGGCGGTTCTACTTGTTTTTGTTGGCATCGAGCCGCTCTGACTGAACATAAACCAGCCACCAGTATGGCGCTGTTTCCTCGTGTAAAACTGGGTTTCTGGGTTCTGAGGTTCTGATCGGAATCTTTGATCTAGTTGACTTCCTGATCACCAGTTCCTCTGTGTGTGTGGAGTCATGCTGGAGTCGTGTTTGAGGTCAGGGCTGGAGTGGGACTTATTTTCTGCTCTGGAGTTTCAGGGTTCAGACCGGTGTTCTCCGTCTGAGAGGAGGGCCAAGATGGCAGCGTGACGAGGCGGATTCTTACGAGCTCTCAACACTAGATGATAATAAGTCATATCTTCAGTGCCTTTTTGACGTTTATCCTGCTTCCAAGCTTCTTTGAAGATTAGTGTGGTTAGTGTGCAAGGCACTATAAGGAACAAGAACATGTCAAAATCTGTTCAGGAGAGGTTACGCACCTCGAGCTAACAACTAGTGGCTAGCGTGCTAGCTAGCAACCAAACTATCTAGAAATAAAAACGGACGAACAGCAGATGGCAGAGGACTTTCCTCCTACCAATAACGCCATCCAAACCTAGCCTACCCTAACCCTACCTACTACATCACTAAAGTCAGTTGGTTGCAAGATTTTAGGAACCATGACTCGATCTGGACTGGGGCAGCCTACATAAACCCTAAATATATGCATGAGAGGAATTCTCATTTTCCTCTGAACACAAGTTATGGAAGTGCTTGTCCATCGTTTGCGTTAGAGGCGCCGTTCCCTCTCGTCTGCCTGATTGCAGGGGCGGGCCCCTCCCAAGCCCTGGCCGGGGGCTCGCTGCCCTGAAGCTCCACCCCTGACGTGAAGAAGGAAAGTCTGCCTACTTTGTTGACGGCCGACGTTTCTTGAACGGAGCCGAAATTCACATATAAACTTTAAATCACACCAAGAATCTCAAGTCTTCTCAAACCCTCTAGATCAGGGGTCGGCAACCTTTCCCCATCAAAGAGCCATAATTACCCATTTCCCACAGTAAAGCCGGGCGTACACTGTGCAACTTTTTCACTTTTTTGAGCCGATTTTCCACTCCTGCGAGAATCCACGAGATCGGGGCGAGTTTTGCGCCGAGCATCGTGTAGTGTACAGGAGGTTACGAGAGGCGATTAAAACCACGTGACCAGCTACCGATCAGCAATCGTGAGCTCACACAGACTTCTGGCGTGTTTGATATTTCGCTCGTCCCTCGTGAGGGTATCGCACTGTTGAAGCAGCGCTGCAAGCAGCTGCGACCCAAAATGTATCAGAACCGCTCACGGCGCATGCACAATCCTGCATCAACACCGCTCGCCCGCTATTTCCCTAATAACACACATTGTTCGTTTTAATTTCTACACGTTTTTTTACTCACAAAGATTGTCAAGAAAGCGTGTTTGTCGTGTTCATGTCAAATTAAACTGATCACAAAACACAGATTTACTTTATTTTGTTTTCCTCATCCAACCCGCATAAATCCCTGTGTGTCCCCCTGCAGCACTCCCGAAGGACAACAGGCAAAACAAGACAAAAAAAGTCTGACGTGTTGAGTAAAAACTGCTATTTTTAGCATATTTTTAGGTCCGACGTGTTGCTACCAGACGTACAGTGTGAGCAGTCAGGTCGCATCCGAGAACTGGGTCGTGCAGTGTGAGCGCATGACTCGTGAGATCTGCCCTGCGAGGAAGTCGTACAGTTTGAGCTGAAGCTGAGAGCTACGAGTGAAAAAGTCGCACAGTGTACGCCCAGCTTAAAGGAAACACTGGGAGCCGCAGCAGCCGCAGCATTGTGGGCGGGGCCTACCCTCTGACAGCAGAGAGCTGCTTTAACCGATCACAACAGGTGACAGCGACAGCAACCAATACTAGTCGCTCATGTACCTCAAAGTTGTCTTTCAACAGAAGATAATTAATAAAACAGTTTGTTTAAAATTGATCCAAAAGTTGTAGCCCGTCTGTGCTACAATATTTTGATTTTTTTCACCCTGCTAGTGGTTTTAATAGTTGAGCAGGTGACGCTTTTTGAGGCATCACACATAACTGTTCAGAATACAAATCCAGGCTCTGTCTCGTTGGACTGTTGTAATTCAACTTTGTACTGAACTAAACTTTGCATTAAACATTGCTGAAAAGGCAAGAAAAGGCTATTAGTTTTTTCCATCGTTTACACTGACGGAGATAACGGCGCAGTGTGCGTGGCTCTGGTGTTAATCAGGTTTAATGTTTCTGTTTGCAACTATCTTCACTAGAAGGTAAAATGGTTAAATGACAGGATTCGCACTGACCCGATGTTTCCCGTATTTATTTTGACGGAGAAATCTCAAGCCTGCAGATGCGCTGACATTTTAACGCACATCGTGGAGGTAGCTACATCAATCAGGAAAAGATTCCCATCAGAACATCTGAGATGGACACTGAGCTCAGCACAGCTCACTGTCAGCGCGCGTAACGTGGACAGCGAGCTGAAGATAGATCGGGGGCTTGGAACGCATCACAGAACCAGATTCTGTGTTTTCTAAACCCAGTCTCTCAGAGACCTGACTTTTAAAAAATGTTCCCTGATTATGAATCTTCGGCTGAATAGCGCTTGTTCCTGTCTCCAACACTGCATCCATGAGCCTGTCTGAGGAACAGTCCAGAATCTCCTCTTCAGCTCAGAAAGCTCAGAGACATTTGATTACGCACAAGCAGGTGACCTGGTGACGTTTACGCAGATAATCTTTAAATTTAGAATTGGCTACAGATGAAAACATGAATAAAATACATTGTAATTAAATAATCCTTAATTAGTTTACAAGCAGAGTCTAGGGAGCCGCATCAGATGGATGAAAGAGCCGCGGGTTGCCGACCCCTGGGTTAGAGTATTTTGAGCCAGAGGTTGCACAAGTTACTCTGCTTTCCTTACGGTCTGAGACCACAGTTCCTGTTTCTGTTGTCCCAAGAATAGAGCCATACTCATTTTTACTTAATGCCATTCTCACACTTCCTTCTCTAGGTGGTTGTTAAAGACTGTACCCACTTTCTCTAAACGTTTGCTTATCAAATCACATGTTTCTGCAGACAAAGCAATACAAGCATCCATTTTTTGACAACATCTGAATTAGTGGCATTACCTTGACAAAGAGACTTATGTGTTGTGCACTAGAGTTCGTTTAGTTTTGACATTATTCTGCAGTTCATCAAGCTCCTCAGTTGTACAGAAAGTTTTTAGCCGTGTCCTTGTTTCTCTAGCAAACTCTCTCCCAAGTGTCATATGCCTCAAAAGGCTTTATGAAACATCGTATTTTGTTGCTCTTGCATTTCTTTACCCTCTTCAGTTAGCTCGTGTTCTCTTGAGCTTGTTCTGAGAGGTTGTTTGTCCATCTTCCTCAATCAGAAAACCTTTACCTTTGGTTTAAACTCCAACTCCAAGCCTGGAGTTGGACTGAGTAAAGGACAAAACTCCTTTACTCAGTTTGTGAAGCCTTTAAGGAGGAAGAAAAGAGGGGCAATTATGGTGATTCTGCACCAAGCTGCATCCGCCTCAAGCTGCTGTGTCAACAGGTCCTCCCAAAAGCTGGATGATGGTAGGCTTTCCACTGGCCACTGGTCAAGTTTTCACTGTAGCTGCCCCTGGCACCATGAAGAAAAGAATGGAGAGCCTCGACGGGTGCATAAACTTTTAGTTTCTCTGGTCCAATTCCTTGGACTTCACTCCATGAGTTGCACCGTGAAAACTGTTTAGAGATATACAAAGCATAAATAAAAGGTGAACACAACTTCGATGTCATAACAGAAATAGATCATATTCTCACATTTACCTTGCTCCGCTGGCCAAGGGTGCTAAACAAAACAATAGTTCCTTAAAGCTGCTTTATCTGTAGACTAGGTGATGGACAAGAACAAGAAAAACAAACAATGACTATAGAGTGTCAAACTAATAACCCAAACAAAAGCGTCAATACAGCAAAACTTACGTGGGGATGCAGTCGGCAGTGTACAGCTGAGGTGAATTTAAGCTAAAGACATAATTTCAATACTTCAAACCGTGTTATCTTCTCTACAAACAAATTAACCCAAGCAGTTTTCTCTGGAAGGATGTGGCTTATATAAATTCTGTGAGCCGATTAAGGGTCATCGCCATCAGCTGCTCAGCTGGCAGCTACACCATCAGGCATATATATGTAACCTAGGCAACGCTGGAGCTGCAGAGCTCCAGCGTCACACAGGGATTCACAACGCCACAGGTGGAGAGCGAGGGTGCAAAACCAGAGGGACAGAGACACCAGAGAGCAGAAGTTTGTCTGCGACCTCTTTTCTTAACTAAATAAAAGCCCCCGTCTAAAAATCTACCACTAAAAAGTTTGAGCCCATAAAAGCAGTTTAAAACATGTTCTTCAAAAAGACCCCAAAAGATAGTTGGGCTCCTCCCAGATCCACAACGTCACGTGGAGGGAATTTCCAGGATGGGAAAGGTGGCGTCCCGGCTTCAGCGTCCGACTCCAGCAGTCTCTGGTCTCGCTCTCAGCAAGCACTCGTCTCAGGCGTGATCTCCCGGGGACTCTCGCCGCTCCTCCCTGACAAGGACAGAACACTGGGGCAGAACTTTTGTCTGTGACGCAGTGCAATCTCTTTCTCGTCGGATCGGCCCATACGGCGCGTCACCCAGCATACAACAGAGGAAGCCGTTCACTCACGGATGCAGGCAGAGGTCCAACCTCTGCCCTGCTGTCATTCAAAGGCGTTGCTCCCACTCGTCGCTGCGCGCCAGGGATGAACCGGTCCTCCTGTGATCCAACGCGTTCTGTGCTACGTCCACCTATTAGTCCAGTCCCTCTGCCTTCTTGTTTCTTTGGTCTCTTTTTCCTCTCTCCTCCCGCAGTTCTGCAGCTTCTTCCCTTTATCAGCCTGCTAACTATGCGCACCCGGTGCGCTCTCCCAGTCACGCCCACCTCTTCAGGTGACTGTCATGTCAACAGTGGCAAAACAATCTAAACTAAACAGGCACATAAAACCAACAACACACGACAAAATCATGCAATAACACAAAACTGTTTAAGAAATTCCAACAATTAATAAAAGAATTTAAATCAACAGAAAACACACATTCCACTGTGTGACATCCCCCCATATTTTAACTGTGATAGTCCCTGATACATCACACCAGTGGCCGATAACGGGCTGGTGGCTGACCAAGGTTAGACCTTGCGGAACGCCAAAGTTCTGGCAGTCCTTCAGGCTGCAAAATAGGCACGTTGGGCATAACACAATAGAATGGAGGCTCAATTACCGTCTCAACCCCCGGGCCTACCTCATCTATCAGTTGGATACTGTCCACTGCTGGGGAGGTGCATAACTATAATGCATTTCGGTAAAGGACTCTCTCTCTTCCCCTTTTCTCTGGCTGCACTTTATACACCACACCTGTATCCCCAACTCTATCCACTACAACATGTGGTTCTGAGGCCCAACCTGGGTGCAACTTTCCTTGCCCCTGCCTGTTCCTGTCCCTAATCCAACCCCTCTCTCCTGGTGCTAATGGCAGAGCCTGTGCCCTTTTGTCATAGACCTTCTTGTTTTGGTTGACAGCAGCCACCATTTTTCCTTGCTGTTTCATAAGCAAAAGATAATTTTTGGTGGTGGTCTCTAACCCATCCTCCAAGATCATTACAAAGTGATCCCTGTTCCACTCCTAGGTTGACATCCACTGGCTGTCTCAAATGCCGCCCAAACATTAGGTATGATGGAGCGTACCCTGTGGCGCTGTGAACTGTGTTATTGTATGCCTGCAACAGCTCGGGGAGGAGTTCTGGCCACCTCTGCTGTCTCTCTGCCTCAAGTGAATGCAACATATGCAGTAGTGTCTGGTTCAGTCGTTCAACCCCTCCATTTCCAGCAGGATGATATGGTGTGGTTTTACTCTTTGTGATGCCATGACACCTGCATAACTGATACATTAGTGTAGACTCTAAACTAGCCCCTCTATCTGAAAGTAGCCTGGCAGGACAGCCAAAAGGCTGGATCACGAGTCCATAGGGCATGTACTGTCATCTGTGCGGTCCGATCTTTAGTGGGAACTGCCCATGCATAGTGTGTGAAAAGATCAGTCATAACCAAAATATTCTAATTTCGGTCTGTGGGCCTCCCTAATGTGAGGTAGTCCAGGGCCACAACCTCCAGAGGATACGAGACCACAATAGGCTTTAGTGGGGCTCTAGGCTGATCTCTATTTCGCAGGCTACAGGCAGCACAACCTAGATGGAACCCACGCACCTCAATCTCCATCTATAAAGTTATTAATTTAATGCAAACACAGCTAACATTTTTCAAAATATGCTCTAACAACACTTAAATATCGGTAACAAGTCCTATTGATATATTAACTAAAGGTTAAAATGACTTTAAGTGCAGAGCGGTGTCACGATCTGCCCCTGCCCGCCTGACTGTGTTCCTCTCCTGCCATGATTACCCTTATTGTTCTCACCTGTCCCTCGTTTACCTGCCCATGTTTCCCTAATTAGCCCTCTGTATTTATACCACCTCTTTTGCCCCTGTCCTTTGTCAGTTCATTGTTGTTGTTTGTTGGTGTTCCTGTTCATCCCATCCTGCCATTAAACCATTTTTACTTTTACTGAAGCCTGCATTTTTACCTCCTGCTCAGCTCATCCACACATGGTCTGCCGTCTCCACCTCCTACACCATGACAGAATGAACTGGCCAACCTGGACCCGTGGTGAGCACGTCTACATCTCCCTGGAAGATTTATTTTTACTTTTTTTTCCCTTTAGCAGAAGGAGATTCTGGCCCAGGGTGTTGGCGCATCCTACCTGTTCTCCGGGGTGGTCAAGCCTCTGGGTGGGTTTTCGGCGCATCCAGTTCGTTTCCTGTGGTGGTCAAGCCCTTCTCCTCTCCTGCGTTTTGCCCCCGTCCTGTTTTTTTTTTTCATGGAAGCTGCGGATCCTGGAGCTTTAATGGAGTTACACCCCCTACGCACGCCATCGTTCTCCGGGGTGGTAGGGCTGGTCTCCCCGCTCTTCTCCTGCTTCCCTGCATCCAAGCCTCTTCCTGAGATCCAGCTAATCGTGCCGTGCACCTGCTTGGACCGGCTGTCGAGTGCCTCCCGCCGATCCTGGTTTTCTGGCGTCGCTTCTGCAGATTGCCCACTTCCTGGTCCACGCTGTGGGGCTTATGCCTGCAGGTCTTATGCTGCTGCAGCCTCTGCTGGGTCCCACGCCTGCTCCTGCAGTTCTCTGCCTGGGTCCCACGCCTGCTCCTGCAGTTCTCTGCCTGGGTTCCACGCCTGCTCACGTCCAGCCAAGTCAAGTCTTCACGTCCAGCCAAGTCAAGTCTTCACGTCCAGCCAAGTCAAGTCTTCACGTCCAGCCAAGTCAAGTCTTCACGTCCAGCCAAGTCAAGTCTTCACGTCCAGCCAAGTCAAGTCTTCACGTCCAGCCAAGTCAAGCCTTCACGTCCAGCCAAGTCAAGCCTTCACGTCCCGTTCCAGCCCAGTCAAGCCTTCACGTCCCGTTCCAGCCCAGTCAAGCCTTCACGTCCCGTTCCAGCCCAGTCAAGCCTTCACGTCCAGCCCCAGCCCAGTCTAGTCAAGTCCCGTTCCAGTCCAGTCTAGTCAAGTCCCGTTCCAGTCCAGTCTAGTCAAGTCCCGTTCCAGTCCAGTCAAGCCTTCACGTCCCGTTCCAGCCCAGTCAAGCCTTCACGTCCAGCCCCAGCCCAGTCTAGTCAAGTCCCGTTCCAGTCCAGTCTACGAGTCCCCGTCCGGTCCCTGTCATGTCAAGTCTTCGAGTCCCCGTCTCCTGTCAAGTCTTCGAGTCCCCGTCCGGTCCCCGTCTCCTGTCAAGTCTTCGAGTCCCCGTCTCCTGTCAAGTCTTCGAGTCCCCGTCTCCTGTTGTATAGCCTTGTGGGTGTCTGGTATCCGCCCTTGGGGGGGTGGGGGGGTGGGGGGGGGGGGGGGGGTACTGTCACGATCTGCCCCTGCCCGCCTGACTGTGTTCCTCTCCTGCCATGATTACCCTTATTGTTCTCACCTGTCCCTCGTTTACCTGCCCATGTTTCCCTAATTAGCCCTCTGTATTTATACCACCTGTTTTGCCCCTGTCCTTTGTCAGTTCATTGTTGTTGTTTGTTGGTGTTCCTGTTCATCCCATCCTGCCATTAAACCATTTTTACTTTTACTGAAGCCTGCATTTTTACCTCCTGCTCAGCTCATCCACACATGGTCCGCCGTCTCCACCTCCTACACCATGACAAGCGGCTTCATAGTACACCTACCTCCACCAGCTTTCATTACTAATTTGGTGGGAGGGGCCGTGAATGCGCCTGAAGGACCCGTTGCATGCAGTTGTGCCTAACCACCAGTAGGCGGCTCCAAAACTGCAAACAATCACTGCACATCACTTTTGGTGAAATTCACATTTTCATCTCTGTTACATTCGCGTGACAGCGGGACATCCCAAAGGTCTGCTGTTAAGCATCAGTACAATGTGCCCTGTTATATGTTGCATATGTGTATGTATATAACTGTAAATAAGAATGTGTGTAAATATGCTTTTATTGTGAAAAGGACAAAAGAGGAAGTGAGGATGACATCATAATTAGATGACCAATGAAGGACATGTATGTTGAATGTGTGTAAATATGCTTTTAATGTGAAAAGGAAAAAAGAGGAACTGAGAATGACATCATAATTAGGTAACCAATGAAGGACATGTATGTTGACCTCTAACCTCATAGATGCACCAATAAAAGGGGAGCATTAGTGTTTACAAAGGTGCTAGCGCCAGTGAAAGCCCATTAAAACAAGAATTTCTGTATCTATCATTTATTTCCTACGCTCACCTGTTCACCGCTCAGACGTCCTGATCTTCTACCTTCCTAGATCATCCAGCTGTAACCTATTTCTGATCATGTCTTCAGTCCGGCTGTAACACTGATGCATCAGTCTCAGACGTCATGGAGCTCAGGTGTTACTAGAACTACCTGTGTGT